TTTGAGAGGCCTCCACTAAGGGCTTTCATTTTGACACAGAGCTTACATAATTGATTTGTTTAATAAGAAACAGAACACTATTCAAGATGATTTCATGTCTTCCGGATATCCATCCATCAACTCACACACTTGTTCCTAGTTTGGACCAGGAGTGGAACAATTGACCGCTGCTGACCGCTGCCTATTTCCAGCGATCAACACGTGCATGGTGGGGTACACCTTAGACAAGTTGCCAGTCCATTACAAGGTAGAATATATTTATTACAATGTTTCAATAAACACTTAAAAATGATATATGTAAATCAAATGAAGCCTAGGCACAAATTCAAACTGGAGGACTCTTTCTAGCCCCACCTGCATCATCCAACCAGTGCATCCTGCTCATCACCGTTGATTAATCAACTCTGGTCCAAGACACGTCACGTCCAATCACCGTCAAAGTCCCAGCTGGTAAGGACCACCATCCATGGCGTCTTCAGCTTTCCAGCAGAGCTCAAACCACCACCACCCCTTCACCTCCACTCGCCCGGCCATTTGGCCGCATTCTTCACCAAACCTCCACCACCAGTACCAGGCCCCTGGGGGATGGTGCCAGAGCATCAAAGACTGACTATTCTTTGTTGTTTGATTGTTGTACCATTATTACAATTTTTCAGGCTTGGTTTTCTCATAAACAAGCCTCAGTAAGTAATACTCAGCTTTCTGTGATTAATTCTAGACTGGCCCTTTTGACCACTTCCATTTTATATGTATTGAAATGTTGTTAGTGGTGGTGATGTTTTTAACAGTAAGAAGGATACATAATCAAATTTGCAAAAATATTCCATCCAACCTTGGGCCAATAAGAACTTATGCTACTAAAAATATGACATGGCCAGTCAGAAATATGTCAATATTTTTATCTTGTTGATTTTTCTTTGAAGAGTTGATCAACAGTGTTATTTACATTTTTATATGAACATTTTATAATATGGCAACCTTTTCTGAAAAAAGCTATAAAAGTTTAAAGCAAGTTCTGAAAAACTTTATAAAATGATCTTCAAGACAGATTCTATGGGTATGTGATAGTGGGAATTCTGGCATTGATCCCTTACCAAGTAAATACAGGGCTAGCATCATACCAATACAGATACAGGCTGGTCTCCAACCTTCCATTTGTCAGCGAAATTATCAGAAAATCTGCTTCAAACAATCAATATTTTTGTAACAATAACCAAACATTTCAGTCTGGTTTCTATTTTCACCACAGTACTGAGACTGTCCTAGTCAAAGTCTTTACTTTTACTAGGGCATTTTTATTATATTCAGCTGAACACTTTGACTGGGGTGTGATTAATTCTAGGCTGTGCCAATAACAACCACAGCTTGAAGATTCAATGTATATGACAGAGGCCTGTCTATGTGTTGTCTATAACCCTTAAAGGAACACAGTGACTATAACTTTTAGTAAAACTCTTGATTGCCTTGAACTTCCTCATCTTGTGTAGCATGAATGGACAGGATGGTGCATTCAGGGGCTTACTTATAAAACCTGTAAAACCTGCTGTAGCACATTCTTTTTGTGTATTTATTTGTTTCAAAAAGACAGAAATAATAAATGTAAAAAAAGAACAAACTTTTCATTGGTTACCATTTACATTTTTACCAAAATCAGCAAAGAAGACAAAAATGTATATCTAATTGTTGCACTTTGAATTTAAATAGAATAGACTTTATCTTTTGTTCTGTAAGTGAAGAATTGACATAATGTTCTGTTTCACCCTGATAGATGAAGTAGGCTTACAGAGTTGAAAGAATTCCAATTGACACATATTTTGGTTCCTGGAAAAAATTCCTGCAGTGCAAACATTCCTTTATACATTTAATCATCAAGAACTGAGTTGTGTTTGAAAATGTATTTTTGTTTTGTAATGAATGTAATTGGCCAGCAGAGAGCAGACCAGTATTGTTGGAAAATTGTAACTGCAGAACAATAAATTATTGACTTATTCAGTGGGTTATCAGTTAGGCACAAGGCCGGCCCAAGCCTCCTTGGGGCCCAAAGCAAAATTTGGTTTTAGGGCCCTCTATTTCTGCTAACAATGTGAACTTGCTGGAATCAACATTTAGAATATTAGAACATTCACACACCTGCTATAAACTTATTGCATCTCTGATGTTGTTTACATTATGTCCTATGTAAGTATAATATAGAATCCATTTATCGGATTTCTGGAAGGCAATTTTCTTAATTTTGGGGTATTGTGATTGGTCGATACCATCTTATCCCCTGATCTTATTTTTGTCAGCAAAGGTTTAAAAATCAGTCTCTGTGCTATTATGCTCTGCAGTGAGAGGTGTGACTGAAAAACTGACAGACCCACCAGGTGGGCTGGTCTCATCTGTCATCGGTGCAGTCCTACACATATTTATAATTATTAAAGCATTTAAAAAAAAAACTAAAATAATGTGATTTTACAAATAATGTGATTGTACTGGATTTATCAGAAAATAAGTCACCTAAAACATTTTACCTGACTATGTGTCACATTTACCAAGGGTTTGAAAACATCTCAAATATAGAAATGACCACGTTTCACATTTTAAAAAACACTACCAGGCGTCTAATAGGCGCCATCTGGCGTTCAAAATGTATAACACACACCAAAAAATCTTTCGTGTCGTTTATCAAACCAACAACAGACAGATTAACTATAGACACAAATAATTGTAAGAAACATTAAAAAAATGTTTTAAGTAACACAATAGTGTAATTATTTTTCTTGAAAAAGCTCTGTCTTACAGGTAAAGGTAATTTTATTTATATAGCACATTTTCAAGAACAAGGCAATACAATGTGCTTTACAGGAATTAAAAGGAAATACAAACAAAATAACAAACAAAAGGATATAGCATAAAAAAGGAAAAAAATAATGTAATATTGAATTAAAGTATGTAAACAAAGTATCCTCTGGTCTAATTCCATTTCTTGGTTGGAAGAACAGGAGTCTAAAAAATAGTCTCGATCCAAAAGTGTCTCTGGATCTAAATAGTGAATACTTTACAGTTTCTGAAAAAATAAGCTATAGAGTGACTCATCTAATTAATTTTCTGGTTTAAAAGTGAGTACTCCACAGTTTCTAACAAAATAAAATAAAAAAACAGTTAAGGACACAATAGGGCAAATGGCAACATTCAGACAAAACAAAGACATGATTGAAGGCAGTGACATCATGGGGAAATGACATCAGATAAAGATGTTGTCATCAAGGAATGTCCTTTGGAGAACTAAGCTGCACAGCTCTACAGAATAACAGCCAAATACTTTCAGTTAAAGTTTTCTTGAATGCAATCATTCAGTGCACATTTAGAGATAATATTACAGACATAAAATTAAATCAACTGTTTTATGCTCAATCTATCCAAATTTGGTAAAAAGGGAGTAATTCCACCACAATGTGTCATAAATTGAATGATTGTATTTTCAGCCACTTGCCACCTGTAAGATGGTCGACAAGAGGCGTTCAAACCTGCAGCTTTCCTACAAACAGAATTTAACAGTCCTTTAGGGCCAACCTTAAAATGCAGCGGACCTTTCTCTGTAAAATATCCAAATTTCCCTGATAAATCATATGAAGATGAGCTACAATCCCTTGACAGTTTTCACTCTAGAAACAGCATTGTTCAAATAAAGTTTTCATAAATCTAAACTCAATGGTCTGATGTGCAAAACAACAAAACATAATTTCTATTTGACTGAAATAATAAGGAAAATAATTTAGACACAACGACAGCAATAAGTATTTCAGATGAAAGATAAGCTCAGCAGCTGAATCTGTCCAGTTTCAAAGTCAATTGCATGGATTCAAATATAATTTCAGAGATGAAACAAGGCATTCAAACTCAGTGTAGCCAGTTGGATGAAAGTTTAATATCTAAGCAAACACATAGTGAGTTACTGACTTTGTACTAATAATTTGTCCTGAACAAACATGTAGATGCATGGATATGTGATCATGAGCAAGAGACAAAAAATAATGTTATGTCAATAAAATATAGATGAACCAGGGTCAACTTCTGATGTTAAGAAACAACAGAAGCTGATAACTAGATCCAGAAAGAGGTTACACACAGAGATTGTGGGAGCAAAGGAGAGTTTGAAATCCCACATCAACGTTAACTCAGGAATAACTTCACATATAGAGATTAATGAGGTACAGCAAAGATATAAAGATACTAAGGTGGAAACCAGGATGACACATCATCCATGCAGACATTTTCAGATCTGTACTATCTGAAAATGGTTGTCAAGCTTGATATGGATGTTCAAAAGAGCTAATTACCACAATGTTGATAACTAAAATTACTAGTAGATAATTTATTGGAAACAGGCAAGTGAGAGAGATGTTGCAGTGATCTTTTTTTGTTGACATTTCTATGAATATAATGTGAGGCGTGAGTGATGTAAAGCACTTTGAACTGACTTGTTGCTGAAATGTGCAACAAGACACCAAGTCTACTGGACTATCCGGTGTGAAAACAACCTTAATTTATGCATTTGTGAATTATGAGACTGTTTTAGCTCCATAAAGCAGCTCTGATGGAGCCTGTGCTGATCGCTGTGCTGCTGTTGCTCCTCCTACAAGTTGGACTGAATCTTTGCTCTAAAAGTGGCCAGAGTGGACCTAAAAATTTATTCTTACTTTTTTCTTAGCTGTATGGCAGATTTTTTTCGTTCTTTGTTTCTATGGCCTTTTCATATTGATATTGTTTAAATATATGATTTATTTTATTTATTTTTGACAGAATTGAAAAACTTTCTCTATGGTTGATTTTTGATGTGCAGAACAGAAACCAAGAAATCAATTCCATAGAATTTAATTTGTAAACTGAATTAAAAATAAAACATTTTGTTTTAAACTGGTTTTTTGCTTCTATTTTGTGGTTTTGATTCTTTTTTGGAATCATTAAAGCATTAACTTATGACTGAAGACTCTTTGGTCACACTTTTGCAAAGAAAGTTTGGTTTAAATTGATCTTTATTGTTGCCATAACATAAGAAATCACAACAAAGTAATCACACTTCATTACACACGAAGAAGGAAAATAAAACAGGTGAACAGCATTAAAATTAGATGATCATAAATTGATAAATGAATAAAGCACTGAAAGATGTTCCTGATTAAAAGCAACTTTGCACAAAGAAACCAACTTGCAAGACTTTATTGTTGACTTTGAGATAATTTCTTCTATTTTAGAACTAGATCGACCATCTTCATGAGTTTGTCGACCTGATCTGGATCAGATGTGCTGTTCTCAAACAGAACACACCTGTTGTCACATTTTGCAGCTATTTTTTTCAGTTTCTCCTGACAGTCATGAAGAAAATCCCTGAAGCTCATGTCAGACTGCTTCAGGTCATTTCCACGAGTGAACAGAAGGACAGTTTGCTTACTAACATTTCCCCCAAACATCTTCTCTAATTTTTTCAGGATTTCTCTCTCACCATCTGTAAATCTGCTGACATGCATCACAAGTAGATAAACACAAGGATCTGACCCACAGAGTTCTTTGCACTTTTTTACATGTTTGTCTTTAGCTGATTTTGCCATCTCATCATCAAACATATCAGGGGTATCAATAACTCTGACATTGAGAGAATTTATCTGAACTTCTTCCTTCTGACACTCTTTGGTGATTGGAATGGAGCTGATTCTGGATTCAAAGACTTTCTTTCCAATGATTGTGTTTCCACTTGCACTCTTCCCTGTTCCGGTCATTCCCAGCAGAACCAGGTTCACTTTAGTGTCGGGGTGTCTTCCTTCATAAATACATAAAAAGAAAGCAATCAAAAGCTTTTCACTGCTCACATGTTAAGTATCATCAAACTACAGTCCAGTAAAGTGTTTCCCTGAATGAACAGCCTCTTTAAGGTCAGACACAGAGTTTGAATCAAACATGAGTCCAGATTTTGACCAGGGCACAATTTAATTTTTTAAGCCATTCAGATGTTGGAGCTTGAAATACTAAGTACAATTTAGTATTTCTTTCTAAACAAAGATGGTACCATATTTTACAGACTATAGAGTTAACCGTACTATAAGTCACATCTACAAAGTTTTTTTTTTTTTTAAACGGAAATGTACATATGTAAGCCGCATGGTTCAAAGTTATAGTCTATAAATAGTTTCTCATTTCTTTAGATCAGTGCATTATGTGTTACTTTTTGAGGTCTTTTAGCTTCCTGATTCTACAGGTCTAGCAGGAATCAGACCAGTGTTACTGGTAAATTTGAAATTTGGTTCCTAATCTGGTCAATAACATTTCCTGATGAAACAAGGGAGGGAATGACCTTAATAAATAGAATCTTCATTTTATAAATGTATCTTTATTCTGCATCTTTAGTGATGATTAAATTGTTACGGCAGCTTACCTTTGTTTCCTTCTGTCGGCAAAGAACTACAGCATAAGAGAAGAGTCATATTAGTTCATGTTACATGCAGTTATTTTTATAGAAATAACATCAAATTAACACTACATCAGAATTAATTCTACTATGTTTTATTTCTTATCAAACTGTAGAACAGTGTTTCCATGTTTCACATTTACCTTGATGCTGTTGATTTCTTTTCAAGCTCACTCAGTTTTGACTGCAACTGGTTGAAGGTGTAGAACTTGAATGCATACTGAGATTCAGGTACCTGTTTATGCTGTAGTGGAAGTACGACAAACAAGTTTTCTGTTCCTACTCCAGTCATGTTGCTCAGATCTACAATGAGTTTCCAGGTACCTTCTAGTGAGAATCCTTTTTCTACCACCACCAAATACATGTCATATAATTGTTTTTTTGAAAACAGTGCCTTTATTTTTGAATGGGATGTTTCAAAATCTGGCGTACATATGAACTTAAGTTCATTGGTTTCATAAACTGTGGAACCATTGATTTCTCCTTTAGTCAGTGAAGACAGATCTTTCCCCAGGAAATTAGTTATCAGAGCTTCCTTTAGAGACTTTCCGTTTCCCAAGATTACAACTGATCTCTTGTCTGTGAAAACAATTAACATAAAAGTCTGTTCAGCAACAGCACATACAATCTAAAAGTCTACCAACTGAATTCACATTCAAACTACTTTATTATTTCATTATTTTACCAAAAGGGAAATTAATTGATTAAGTAATCAAATGTTACAAGCGGCTCAGAGTCCTGAAGAACTTACTGTCAGACATTGTTCTCTGGTGAAGTGCAGTGCAATCAGCAGACAGGCTCTGTGAAAACTGCAAGCTGACCTGGGCTTGAAGTTCTGCATAAATTGCTCTTAGTCTGTTTAAAAACAAAATAGATCAGGTCAAGTGACATCAGGTCACTGATTAGTAATAAAAATGACAATTTAGGAAAACACAAATTTTGCCATTTCCCTCAACCTTTTCTAATGCGATGACCAAACTTGCAATAAATAGATATAGGCTACTTAAGACAATTTCAAATCAATTAACATTTTAATTGATTAACTCTGCTTTTCCAGAGTTCGTGAGATGGAAGCACAACTTCAACAATAAAGGTAATAAAGCCAAATGGAGCTGTCACATGTGAGGTGGTTGATTAAGTTATCTATTGGTCATTGAAACTAATCAATAACCACTAGACCAGGGGTCACCAACCCGGTGCCCGCAGGGACTTTTTCAGTCGCCCGCGGAGCCACTTCTAAAAATAGCCATTATCATTAGGGAGCACTACCAAAAAATAATTTAATTAAATGTTTTTACATTGAAGTAATGACATCTGTTTATATTTAGAGTTCAAAAGAGGGAAATGATGAAAACGTTTAAAATAAATTGCTTTACGTATAAAACTCTTTCCTGCTGTTAAAGTCCAGAACTGCGCGCCTGCAGGAAACTATCGGAGCGCAGCAGCGCCTGCAGCTGCACTCTGCAGCTGCACTCTGCAGCTGCACTCTGCGTACTTTGACATTTTCCTTTAAGTAAAGAAAGAAATGAATAACTTCTGGAGTTTTTATTATTTAACCCTATTTACTATTAACAAAATTGTGAAGAAAAATTTAATAAATTGTGCCAAAACATCTTATTTGTAGCGCACATCTGGGAATCAACACCGTCCTCTTTCCGTGAACCACATGGGGAGGCTTCGCTTCCACGTCTTTATTATTTAGCATCGTCTGGAAAAAAAGTCCGCTGCTCTTGGTTTAGGCTTGTGCTGATTTTTGCGCATTGGAGAAGTGTTTGTGCTCTTGCTGGTCAGGTGCAGTGATAGTTTTGTGTCAGACCTTTATTTTTCCACATCTGCTAGTGTCAGCCAGCGGGTGACCCATCAGCTGTTCGGTTCGCGAAACCACGAAAAAAGCGAATAAACCGGCGACCCACCAGAACCGCGCAGACTATCAGAAGCTCAGGCTGATCTTAGAACAACAGGAGGTTCAAACCCAACTCGTTCATTTTTAGCTTGCAGAAAAACACAAAGCCGTTAAATTAATAAAAGCAAACTGACCAATAAGACTGAGGCTTTGTTGTTCCCCACCTCACGCATCAGACTGACAGCTGTGTGTGTTTAATATGTTTTGGCACAAAAGACATTTTATTTTCCACAATTTTGCTAATAGAACAGATGATAAAACAATAACTATTCTTTTCTTTTTTATTTAAAGGAAAATTTCAAGGTACTCAGTGCTGTACAGCTGCAGGTGTTACTGCAACAATCCATCAGTTTTCTTTGGTTTATTTAAGTCACTTGTGGCCAGTTTAGAATCACAGAGAAAAACTCCAAAAGGGAATCAAACTTAAAACTTTGTGAGCTAAAAACATCTGATCACATAATAGCAATTAACCACATGGTAAATTATTACTGATAACTATTGTGAGTAGTCCTTCGTGTTGCTCTGTACCCGTGAAGTAGCTCCCAGTCTCAAAAAGGTTGGTGACCCCTGTGTTACAAAAATGTTTTTTTTACCTCCAAGAATAAAAGGAGGCATTGGATATTGCTGAGTTTGTCTGCATGCTTTTTTGTCTGTCTCTCATATCAAATTTAGCAAAAATTGTCTGTACTTGCAGTGGATGCACTACTGTCCGCTCCAGTGGTTTGTGTGCATTTCTAACATAAAAATACACAAGAAACACTAGAAAGTGGCCTTTAGATAGCTGTCCACTGCAGTGACTGCTATTTATTATTGAGATTGGCATATGAATAGTAAGTATGCGTTCCTCATACTTGGAACCTCAATTTAATATCAGTTTTGTTTTGGGCCTCATGCATTTTGATCCCTTGTCTGTGTAAATTTACTGTAACTTCTACTTTTAACATGTTGGAAACACAAGTAACTACAGTTACTTGTGAGTTTGTAAAACATTTACAAACTCAAATCATGAATAGTTATTAAAACTATTTTGGCAGTGGTAGAGACATTTCCTTTGAAAATGTTAAATGTTTTACAGTGAAAATTTAGAATGTTTTACAGTGAACTTTTTTAATAAACCTATCAGAATCCCAGATTTTAGAAACTGTTACTTTTTGTTAATGTCTTGGAACATGAAAAACTTTTGCTTCAAGGCCTCAGTTATTTTTTTTCTTTTCTTTAAGCATAGATATGTTGAGTAAAACACCCAGAATGAAAACCAGCTCACAGTGAATGAATGAATGTTGAAAAATATTTACCTCATCAGTTGAAGTTGTTCATCCTTCTCCTCTATTCTGTTTAAAACCAACACATAATTATCTTGATGTCCCACATCAGCTCACAACCATTGACAAAAAACAAAACAAAAAAAAACAAATTCCATGTTTCAAACCATTTACATTCATTTAAGATCTTCATTTTCATTTTTCTTATGAGATGATCTGTAGAGTAAAATGAGCAACTCACTAAATTAATGCAAACATACTGGCTAAACAAACACTGGCCTCAGTGAAAAACAAAACAACACTTTATGTGTTTTTTCTACTGAATTTAATGAAAGTGAAATATTTACTTAAAGCAAAGCTGCTGCATGACTTCAGTCCTTCAAACAAGTAAATAATTTCATCAGTGTTGTATAGTAACAAAGTAAAAATACTTCACTACTTTACTTAAGTATATTTTGGAGTACTTCATACTTTCCTCGAGTATTAACATTTTTGATAACTTTCACTTTTACTTCACTACATTTCCAAACTTAATTGCATACTTTTACTCCGATACATTTTCAATGTGTGGTTTAGTTACTCGTTACAAAAAAGCGAGAGAGAAACGCAAATGTTTTGACCAACCTAATGATCGACTGTAACAAAGCCTGCTTGCCTGGGCTTGTTCATCACCACCAATAAGATGCACAGGTTTCACACCTCCCCACCTACGTCAGAAAGTCCAACAAACAGTCTGATTGGTCAGTGCTCTGTTTGTGCAGCTTCTGTTTCCGAGTTATAAAAAATTATTTTTTAGGCCATCCAGAGTTCACCATCCCCGCATTTTGCTCCAAAACAAACCAAGGTGGGCTGGTCCGTTAATGCTGTGCAGGTTTGTGCCATTAAAACAAACACAGTGTTGAAATAGAATTTTAAAATAGCACAATAGTACACAGGCTAATCTTTACGTTAAGACAAACTTAGATAAAGATCCAAACTAAAACAACTGGCCACTCTAAAAGTTTTACATGAATTGTATAGGGAGAATCTTAAAGAAAGACAGACTGAGACTTCTTTAAATCTCTTTAGACAGGGCATCTATCTGCCAGACAATTAAAAAATTCCTTAGCGTGGTTCAAAAGTTCACTAGGATCTTAAAACTTTTTATAAATAATTTTATCTATATTAGAATTAAATATATTTCTTTAAGCATTAAAAAGCATGTTTCTAATTAGTTAGTTTTATATCCAACTTATAGTTAGTATTAAGCAATACATTGTGTGCGAGTTTGTTTAAAAAACACCAACTGGTTTCTTGTTGAATCATTTTGAGGAAGAGATAACGCTGCAGCTGCACGTCATATATCACAGTCTGGCCAGAGCCTGGTACGAGAAGAGCTGGGTGTTTCAGTGGGTCTCAGAGGTAATAAAATTAACATTTAAGACAGCCCACACAAAGGAAAAACACACCTCCTAATGCATATATTTAAATGAGGGAAATACACATTCTTATAAAATGGTTTGTTTTACAGCAGAAGTTCAAATCTCTTTGTGCTGAGTGAGTTTCCCAAAAGATGCATCTTTTGTTTGTGTTTTTGTTTCCCTTTTTACTCAGTTAATTGTTTCTGTTTTGTCATGTCTTCGACTTTTGATGATCTAGGTGAGATGCTTATTGTAACATTCTTTTTGCAATGATTTTCTCTGGATAAAACTCTGCATATCTGAAGTCTGACGTCGTGTGATTGCTCTTTCTCCCTGGGTATATACAGAAACACAAGAATTGGGAAAAAAGAGGAATGAATTAACGAGCTAAATCAAGTTATTCCTCATTTTAATTCTCAACAACAGCAAAGTTGTTTTCAATTTGGATTTTGACTGTTCCAATATCCAGTGTGAGCAGCGCCTAACTCGAGGTTGATCCGATTCGTGAACTCTAATTTCGGCCAGCCGTTTTCTAGGTCTTCCCCTTCCTCAAGGTGTCAGAGTTTCACTCAGGGAGAGTCAACAAAGTTTAACTCTCCTGAGAAACTAGTGGAAATAGATTTATTGCCTTGTGACCAACTGACACAAAATTCATGACAATATTTTCAGTAATTGTAATCTTAAAAAGTATATATTTTGGATGGCCTAAAAATAATTTTTAATATCTCGGAAACCAAAGCTGCACAAACAGAACATTTTAACGGCACAAACGAAGCACTAACCAATCAGAGTATTTGCTGGATTATTTGAGTAGGTGGGTGTCAGCTTCACGGAGGTCTGTTTCGCTTCTCCCATTAAACACCAAGTTAACAAAAAGCTCTCCCTCTTCAGATGCCAAATAAGCTGAATTTCCCTCCCAATTCTTTTTTTCTTTTGCATAATGACCAGTTGTTGCACCTATAGTTTGTGAAATAGAGTAATCTTAACTGCTTTTTTTCTTCATGTTGGCCGCATTTTCTGTACTGACTATTTATTTTTCTCATTTTCAGCACTGACCTTACTGAAAGGGAAAACCTGAGGTTTATAGAATCTTTGTATTTTGTGTCCTGGAGGGTTTACTAAGAAGCTGGTTCAGTTGTAAAGCAGGTTAAGTTAACCTAAAGCAGGTTAAGTTAACCTAAAGCAGGTTAAGTTAACCTAAAGCAGGTCAAGTTAACCTTGTGGTTTAGGTAAAGCACCTACTTTTCTTAACTAAATGATTCCTGCAGGTTTATCTATTAGCAGGTTTTATTTTGCCTGCACTTGGTTGTGTACATTATTTTAAGTGTATTTAATAAGTTTACCAAAATATAAAAAATGTCATTCAAACTGCATTTGACTTGTTTTACTTTTTACTTGTACTTTTCATTACATTACTTGAGTACATCCATTGTTACAGTAATTTCCATACTTAAGTACAAGATGTTTCAGGTACTTTAATACTTTAACTCAAGTAACATTTCAATCAGTGACTTTTACTTTTACCAAAGTCATATTTTGGAGCGGTACCTATACTTTTACTTGACTCTGAGATTTCAGTACTTTATACAACATTGGATTTCATAAATGTTTGTTTACACAAATCTCTCTTTTTTAAACTAATAATTCTTTAATAACTATTTAAGTTTTTATAGTAAATACCTATACATAATTAGCAACTTAGCAAATCAGATAGAAAACTGAGTTATTGTGTGTTTACAGCTAAGACCTTTAAAATGAATAACATCTGACTAGAGCTGAAATAAAGATTAGGTTAAGAAATCAGTTCGTTTTTTTAAATCACTAAACTTTTCTTATTGTTCCAAATAAAAAAACCCCACAATGTTTCACATTAAAACATTTTAATACCTTTCCTGTAAGTCTTGAATTTCCACATCCTTTTCTTTTAGAGCTGATCTAAGAAGTCAAACAAACAGAATAAAAACCAGCTCAAGAGAGACAAGAATAAAGAAATAGAAATTAAAATAAAAAGATATTTACCTTGTGTTTTGATGTTGCATTTCTTCATAATTTAATCTGTGTAAAAACAACAGAGTCATGATTATCTTCATGTTTCCTGTCAGGTTTTACAGCCATCATATGAAAACAGGGAGAATAAAAAATTTAGCACATTTGAAAAGTCAGATTATGAAATCCACTACAAAATATCTGACCACTCTGTTTTAAGATATATTATTTATTTTACTGTAATGGTAACTTTTAATAAATAATAATCTGTAAGGATGTGAAGGAGAAGAGCTCCAGTTAGTTTTTGCTGTCTTCACTTTGAGACAGCAGCTTTGTTACCAGAGAAAGAAACAATCTATAGGATGAACAGACATGAATAAATTAATGATGCAGGAATCAAACTAGATGACCAGAGGAGGGATAAAATAATGCTCACACATTGTTTATATTTTGTTTTGTGTCAATATTGTAGGGACATATTTTTGTTTGAATCATGAAGTGAGTGACGGTGATGTTCCAGGTAACTTTTACCTGAAAAGGATGTTTTTATTTTTCATAGCAGGTCATTCTGATAAGGAAGGTAAAGAGGGAGTTCAAGCTTGGAAAGAGAAATAACTCTAAACTGAGTTTTAAGCTGTCATGTTTTTGGTTTTGAAATATCCCAGTGGTGGACAAAATTAGGAAAAACTGCTAGAGCTCCAGGATGAAACGAGACAAGAGACCTGCACTAGTTAAAGGAAAGAACTTTTCTAATGATTTGTATTTGATTGGTCACAACAATCAAATCCACATCAATACATATAACATCAGATAAAAGTCCTTATAACCATTAAGAAGTCAGAGATTTTCTGGAGTTTTTAATCTGTATTCAGATGTGCTGAATATATCTTCTGGTTGGTCTGATTGGAGCAAAGAGGTTTGAATCCTGTGTGATGATTTTTATTAACTTTGCCCTCAAAAATCTGAGCTTCTTCTATCATAAAAATAGATGGAAATTCACTTCCTTTACCTTAGTTATGGGCACCATGTATAATTCAGAGAAGTAAACATTTTGTATCCAAATCATTGAATCAAACTGGACGTGCTGACAGAGTTTAGAAATTGTTAATTCATTGTCAAAATCTGGCAACATGAAGTACCTTCTCTGCAAGTCTTCAATTTCACTTTGCTGCTCTTTAAGTTTAGATCTGTGGAGTGAAAAACACAGAATGAAAACCAGCTCACTGTGAATGAATTTATAAATATCTTTAAGATACAGGATTTTTAAAGATTGGTGCATCTCTAATTATCCAGTGGATGTAGAGCCTCTCATTCAGGGACAGCATGCAACCTTTAGAGTGCAACTTGCTTTAGCATGCTGTTCTTTATAAAAATATCTATATATTTTTAATTCTTCAAGACCACTTTTAGGACTAAATAAAGAAATGAGGCAAAGAGAAACAACACCAGAAATTTTGATTTATAATATTTTTTTACTTCCAAGAGTAAAAGGAGGAACTGTATATTGCTGAGTTTGTCTGCATGCTTTTTGTCTGTCTCCCATATCAAATTTAGCAGTGGATCTACTAGTTTCCACTTCAGTGGTTTGTGAGCATTTCTAACATAAAAATACACAAGAAACACTAGAAAATGTCTTTTAGAGAGTCATCCGCTGCAGTGACTGCAATGCATTAAAGAGATCGGCATTGACTCACTAAGCTGTCCTGATAATACTTGGAATAGCAATTTAATCTCAGTTTTGTTTTGGGCCTCATGCATTTTGATCCCTTGTCTGTGTAAATTTAACTTCTACTTTTAGCAAGTTGTTGGAAACACAAGTAACTGCAGGGAGAGGACTCTAAATGATTTGAGTTTGTAAAACATTTACAAACTACAACCAGGATCTCTGTGTCAGTGAAGGTCAAAGGTCATGAATCAACTCTAAGAGAGAGAAAATAGCCTTCATGTGAGAGTTCCCCATTACTGACCCAAAAGAACACAGAACCGTCTCAGATTGACCCAAAGAACATTTCTGATGATCTTTCAGGTTTTGGGAAATATTTTGTGGACTGAAGAGAAACAAGTGGAACATTTTAGGAATGTTTATAGGTTTTTAAATCTGAACTAAATCTGATCAGAAACTGACCAGCAGACAAACAGTGTGATGGTGTGGGGCAGCTTTGCTGCTTCAGAGCCTGAATGACTTTCTGTGACTGATGGAATCATAAATTCTGCTCTTTAGCAGATATTTCTGAACAAGAATAGCCATCACTTCATGACCTATTGTGCAATATTTTTAGAATATTAATAATTAAATTTTTATCAAACTAAAATTTGCAATTTTTTTCTATGCTTTAGATTGAAAGTTAAATGTTTCATTTGTTTTATGTTGCATCATATTGTTCCTCACTTCCACAAAAAGTCATATTTTGTATTGAAAAAGTAGTGTGCTGAGTTGTACAATTCATTATTTCCATAATTTATTTCATACTTATTTTATTTCAGACTAATCAAAAGGCCACAATTTATGCTTTATTCAAATACTCTTTACATCAGTTAAGAAATTTATTTCACAAAATAGATGGTGATTTTCTTACTGTTTTTCCAGAATATGACTTACTTTGGACAGTTTACCCTCAACATTCTTGTAGAAAAGGTTTAGGTTTAAGGCACATATACGTTGTTGTTTCAAACCTTCGTCTTTATTATGTGGCCCACTAAAGACTGTATGAGTCAGTGTTTGAGTTGTTTTTTTTTTTTTCAAAATAAATGTTTGATTAATAATGTGTTGTATTTACATGTAATACAATAGAAAACATATTGGGAAAAATATATTAGAATATATTTCAATACATTTTCAGTAATTATATTTCAGTAATATTGGTAAATATAATTTCCTTTCCAAAGTACCAGATATAAAAGAAAGTTTGAGCTTTAAGAAATTCTGACATCTAGTGAAGTGAAATCTGATATGAAAAAATAGGATTTTCAAAGAAACTTGAAGGTTATTTTAAGTAATATTTTACCTTTTTAATTCACATGAATGAGTCGTTCCACAGTTCAAATGTTGTTCATCACCCACAGCATTTATCTTCCGCTGGGCCTCCTGGTTCTGAACTGACTGCTGGCGTATTAAATCTTCCAGCTGACGTATTGCCTCCTGTTGGCGTATTAAATCTTCCCGCTGGCGTATTGCCTCCTGTTGGCGTATTAAATCTTCCCGCTGGCGTATTGCCTCCTGTTGGCGTATTAAATCTTCCCGCTGACGTAATAAATCTTCCTTCTGGCGTAGCACCTCCTTTTGGCTTATGACCTCCTTTTGGCTTTGTATGAGCTTCTCATATGTATTTCTAAAACACCTATGTTTAAAATTTGCAGTGAAAAACAGAATTCAGATTGTCAGAGGAAAAATTAGTCTGAATTTATATGAACTGTAATTCATATTAAGCTATTTCTAAAGTAATCTGTTAATCCTAAAATCAGAAGAGGTTCAGGTTTCTATATACACTGTAACAAATTGCTGTAAAAAAACGGCCAAAACTGAACAGTATCATACTGTTTCTATTTAAAACGGTACTGCACCGTGAAAAACAATGCATTCTGGGCAATTATTACTGTTTTTAATAAAATACTGTAGTATTCTGTGAGTAGCATTGCATTTTTGGAATGATTTTAGATTCAACGGTAAGGAGGCTGTCTTTAAACAGAACGCTACTGTATTTCTGAAGAAGACATGTTATTGTGACATGTGGAAGCAACCTCTAGAACAGGGCTGTCAAACTCCAGTCCTCCAGGTGTCCTGCAGTCTTTCAATGTGCCACAAAACACTGGAATGAAATGGCTTCATTACCTCCTCCTTGTGTAGATAAGTTCTCCAGAGTCTTGCTAATGACCTATTATTGTATTCAGGTGGTGCAGCAGAGGCACATCTAAACGTTGCAGGATACCGGCCCTCGAGGACTGGAGTTTGACACCCCTGCTCTAGAACTTTCTTTACAAGGACTATCCATTTGAATCCTGCATTTTATGAGCCAATCCTAAGGTAAGTTATTTTTGATGAGTCATATTTACAAATATTGACATGTTTGGAAGCTCTTTTTCTTTCTTTAGTGTAATTTGACTTGAATTGCTATGATTAGCTGCTAAAGTCAAATTGGTGAATGGATATCAACTGGGAATTTGGAGTTTCACAGAGTTGACTTGGCAGAAAACTGTTTAAATGTTATGCTGGTGTCTCTTTATTAACTCTTAACATTCAAAAGTTTGTCTTCATCTAGCACACATTAAACCCTGACTCCTTAAGCATCATATGCTAATCAGAAATTACTGCATTTTCAGGCGCTTTCTTGATATCAACCCGGACCAAGGCCAAGATCAAGATCATCTCCAAGAGGACAGGGAAAACTTTTCAAAAGAAGTCGGTCACTGTCATCCCTCGTGTTTCAACTCTGCTGAAAAACCTCATGGACTTTGAGTGGAATTTCATAGTGAGAACTTTCTAACCAAGCTATAGATATTGTTGCCCCTCCACGCAAAAACAAACAAACAAAAAACTATACAGGCATCAAGGCAACTTATCCCTGAACAGGAGTGTTCTTGAGAGATTTTTTTGGTTTAAAGGTCAGCATAATCTTAAGACATCTCTTTTAATTAAGAGCATACATTTTGTTAAGGCTCCCACTTTCTGTTCTTCAGATGTAATTTTGACTGTACAGGCACCATGTTTAACTTATCTTGGCAGTGTTGTTAAATATTGTTTCACTGTTTTATATTTTGAAGTTGGAGCTCTGATTTTGCCCTAAAGAAAATTCAAGTCTATGTTTCATTTAAATTTTTATCAAACTAAAATTTGCAATTTTTTTCTATGCTTTAGATTGAAAGTTAAATGTTTCATTTGTTTTATGTTGCATCATATTGTTCCTCACTTCCACAAAAAGTCATATTTTGCATTGAAAAAGTAGTAGTTGTACAATGCATTATTTCCATAATTTATTTCATACTTATTTTATTTCAGACTAATCAAAAGGCCACAATTTATGCTTTATTCAAATACTCTTTACATCAGTTAAGAAATTTATTTCACAAACTAGATGGTGATTTTTTTACTGTTTTTCAGAATATGACTTACTTTGGACAGTTTACCCTCAACATTCTTGTAGAAAAGGTTTAGGTTTAAGGCACATATACGTTGTTGTTTCAAACCTTCGTCTTTATTATGTGGCCCACTAAAGACTGTATGAGTCAATGTTTGAGTTGGTTCTTTTTTTTTCCAAATAAATGTTTGACATGATGGAACTTACATTTTCTATGTGTTTTTTTTTTTCCATGCTTCTATTTTATATTGGAAATTTACAGTAGTAAGCTGTATGTGAATTCAACAGTAATGGTACCATAGAAAAACTGTAACATACTGGCAACACAGCTGCCAGTAGTCTATTGTAAATCTGATAAAAAAAACAGCAATGTGCTGTAATCAAAAGATTTCTTTTGTGACGGTAATATACTGTAAAGTTGGTTACAGTAAGGGTACTGTATATTAACAATATAATGCTGGCAACCCTGCTGCCAGCATTATACTGTAAAAATACAGGGCAATTTGTTACAGTGTATGTATAATATAGTGTAGGTTTCAGTGTCTGGTGGTAACTTACTCAGGGTGACTTTTAAAGTCATGGTCAGCGTCTTTAGACCTGTTGCTCCCAACAGTCACATCGCTAAACTCAGATGAAGAACATTCTGATCCTAGAGGGCTCCTAAATATGAAAGCATGTTATTTACAGCAACGTTGTTTTCTTATATGAAATGGTTGTTTTTTTATTTGATTTTTTTATTATTATTTAAGCATTTAAAACAAGATTAGATCAAAATCTCTTTTACAAAGGAGACAGATGAAAACAATCACAAAACAAACATTTGAAAGAAATAAAGTGCAATCAATTTGACAATAATTAGTTTCAAATGTGGAACTAATTATTACAGAAAAGATAAAAACAGAAATAGTTGAACATTTAAATCATGGGACAGTTTGAAGCACTTCCTGCTTCAGTTCTCACTTTCAGTTCCACAAAGAAAAGAGCATCAATAAGTAGGAACCAAGTCAATGAGACACTTTTAAACCAGGCTGATTTATCGGCCAGCCGATTTATTGATGCCAATTTCCTTAATTTCTAAAACTTCTATGTGATTAAAATTTGCAGGAGATCATTGATCGGCCAATACTCACATACTCACAAGGTAAATATATTATATATCTACCTTGGCAGAGGTCTAAAAATCAGTCACTGTCTTCTTTTAACTGACAGACTGGCCCTCAGGTCGTATCTGCATATTTGCGATTAATAATAGTCACCCTACTGTTATCAACTCAGCTACTTTCTTGCTATATGTAGCAACCTTTCAGACAAAAAAATAAAATAAAAAAATGGTATCGGCCAAATTTGGAATTGGCAGGTCAGGATTTTTAAAGATCAGTGCAGCTCTAATTTAAACCAGAGTCATCCAGTGGATATAGAGTCTCACATTCAGGAAAAGCATGTTAGCTTTAGAATAAAACTAGCTTTAGCATGCTAGTGGCTGCAGCTAGAAACTAATCTCAAAGCTCAGTGTTGGAGTCAAGGACTGGTGACAGCTGGTTGGAGCAGCGATACATCCAACATCATCACAGTCTGGTACAGATAGAAAGCAGCTGTGATCAGAAGCTTCCAACTACTGAGGCAGAAACGTAACTAGTTTCCAGTTTCCATCACTAGTAAAACAAGTTTTACTCAGAAAACTGAAACTAGATGCAACCTTCAGAATTTAACCTTGGGTGGTATTAGCTGAAATTCTCTGAAAAGAATAATCAAGAAAATATGTTGTTTTTTCGCTGCTCTGGATCAATGAGGCTGAAGTTCTCTAGTTTTGGTCCAAAGAGGAGAGTAGAGATTTAAATGATTGAGTGTGAACAGCAGTAAATTACAGAATCATCTGTATAAATATGGTAGAAAACATTTGACAAGTTTGTGATCAGATTGGAAATGTTGTTTATTATGACTGGTGTTAACTTACTCTCTGACTAGACGATCACCAGGAAGGTTCCAGCTGTTTTCTTTGTGTCTCATGAACCTGTTACTCTTGAACAAATTGCTGAGTTCAGATTTGGAAGAGTCTGATTCTTCTGAGAGCCTAAACATGAAAACAAGATGTTATTTACAGTCATTTTCTTTTCTTACATATATAGTTCAAAAACTATTTACAAAGAACTTGCTCTGTTAAAAAAATGTTCTGCATATTCTGCAATATATTTTTTTAAACATGGTGGTTGTGACCTCATAAAAAAAGCTTCTGCATATAGATCTGTAACCCTTAGATCTACCTGCAGGTCAGACAGAGAAAGACTGAGCTGACTGACCACATTTTTCTGAGAAACTTCAATTTTCAATCAAAATGTTTTTTTGAAACAAAACCAAAGTTAAATTCACAAATATAAAGCAGAACAAGATAGAAGAGGAAGAAAATGATTAAGAGTTGATAAAAAAAACTCTGTTAAACTCTGTTCTCTTACTCGTCATCATTTCACCATTTTGAAAGATTTTTTTAGATTTGTTAAATGTCATAGACTAGATCTATCCTGTCATTTAGTCTACTTTCAAAACACAAGTTTGTATTTGCTGCCATTTCACTAGAACCAATGTACCTACTCGTCTACCTCATTTTTATACAAAATATATTTTTTTAACTTCTCAAGACCACTAAATAAAAAAAATGAGGCATACAACTCCTGAAATTTTAATTTAATTTATAAATTAAAGCAGTTATAGACTATTTACACAAATAACCATGTTTTTAGTTCATTTTTATTATTTATCTGTATTATTGTGATTGTCTTTCATATTGAAAGACAATCACAACAATATTTTTTTCTCCTGTAGAGAAACCAAATTTCTCCACAGAGAGAAGCTAAATTTTCATTTTCTTCTGTTTTTGTATATTTGGCAGAATTAATAAATCTGGCTTGACCCAGGATGTACCAGAAGAGCCCAGAACAACATTCAAAGCTCTGCAGACCTCTCTGTGTCAGGTAAGGTCAAAGATTATGAATCAACTCTAAGAAAGAGAAAATGGCCTCCAGTGGGGAGAGTTCCCCACTGCTGACCCAAAAGAACATAAAGACCCGACCCAGATTGACCCAAAAAACATTTCTGATGATCTTTCAGGGTTTTGTGAAATATTTTGTGGAATGAAGAGAAACAAGTGGAACATTTTAGGAATGTTTATAGGTTTTTACACCTGAACTAAATCTGATCTTTGATTTCAGAACCTGACCATCAGACCAGCAGACAAACAGTATGATGGTGTGGAGAAGCTTTGCTGCTCCAGAGCCTGAATGACTTTCTGTGACTGATGAAATCATAAATTCTGCTCTTTAGCAGATATTTCTGAAAAAGAATAGCCATCATTTCATGACCTTCAGATCAAGGTCACTTGATTCTGCATAAAGACAACGATCCTAAACACTCCAAGTTTAGGCTCTAATCAGGGCATAAACGTTTATTTCTTTGAAACTCCACTTAACACATGTTGAATAAAACATTACAAACTGACTCAGTCACAGGATTTAGATCCAACTCACCTCTCAGCAGCTGACGGTCGGTCTGATCTAAAGTCAACCTCAAGATCTTTTGACTTGCTGCTCCGGAAGGACAGACTGCTGTAGCCAGATTCTGCATCAGATTCTGGTGTTGGTTTTGAATATTCCCTATGAATAAAGATGGCTTAGTGATTTCAGTGTTGAGTTCTGACATCACTAACATCCTGGAGAGCTAGAGATGCTGATCTTACCTCTGATAGCTGAAGTTCATATCAGTTGGATGAACGGCAGCTTTTCTGCCTCTGCCCCTCTCCATGCTGCTCAGTTCACAACATCTGACCCACAAGTTCTACCTTCATCTGAGGAAGAAACATTCATTATTATCTATATGTTTATTATTAACATTGGCACTGTGTTAACATCAGCTGATGATCTGATTGGTTTTTCTTTGCTTCATATCAGTTAAATATGTAAACAAGCAGCTGCACCTCTACTAATAGTCCACTAGATGGAGCCATGCAGCTGAATTCAACATGAGAAATCAATATTATACAAATTCTAAAAAACATGTAACATGAGTTTTGTTCAATAAACAGATTGAAGCCAAATAAAGTTAGCCAATGTTTAAAAATTTTTTGAAAGCAATTTTAAGATTATCTAACATTGATTCAAATGAAATCTATTATCATCTTTGAAGACATAAACAAAAAGATTTATTCATAGAATTACAATTTACTAAACTTGATGATTCTGATGGCTTTTGAATAAATTTAATATTTATTGCTTGTTTCATAACTGATGACTAAATTATATTTTTATGATGTAAAGAGCTTTGAACATCATAAAAAATTGTAATTATTTTATATTTAAACACTGTGTAAAAACTGAGGAATGGAGTTTTTATGCAATTTCTACAGAAGAAATATTAAAAAACAAAAAACAAAGTGTACATCAAGGAACAACAGTTCAAAAACAAAATGCAAGATTTACAGTTAAAGGTTAAACTTTATGAGATAATGAAATAACATGTTAATCAAGATAAGGGGAGATAAATTGATTTATAACCACTCCAATTATACCAAGAAAATGCAGAAAAAAAACAATATGGAGTAAAAATATGTGATCTGTTTGTAGGATTCAATTAGAAAATTCTGTTTTGATAAAACAATAAAAAAAAAATAAAAAATGTTATTATGTTTGGAGTTTGCAAATTGTGAATAAAAATAATATAAAAATGATAATGTTCAACATGTGTTCATATTCACAATTTTTTATATCAAAAAATCTGATTGAGTTTAAGGAGTATAAGAATTTTAGCAGCACAGAAAAATAGACTCATCATTCCAAACCTTTCTGGATATTTCATAACTAAAAAATAAGTGTGAAGTCAATTCTTGGATGTTTTTTTTTTTTGTTGTTGTTGTTGTTTTCTTTTTATTACAAACAAAAAGAACTGATGTTTGTGTTTGTTACATTTTTTGTGTGTTTGATTTCTTGCATGTGAGTGTGGATAGAGGTTTTCAATATTTATTTTAACTCAAATTACTTTTTTTACAAGTTGAATTAACTCTTTGGAACAGTCTTGTGATCTTGTTAAATTATCTGGAACAAGCAGAAAAACTAAAACAAACCAACATAACATAAAATAGAAATGATTAACAATGTGGTTATGTCTCTCTCAAACCAATTATTGAATAATGCAGATTAGTTTAATCTAAATGTCACAGTTATTCCAGAGAAGATACTTGTGGGGTAAAAACATGTGGATAGAAGTTAACATCCAAACTAAAATGTTTTCTGATTGAATCTGGACGATTTGATTACAGTATCCATGTTATTTATACATTTATGTACTGTAAAATATGCTGTAATGTAATTGGTTCTATATAGTTCAAGTAGTACTTTGAATAAAAGCTCTGAAGTGATATAATAAGATACTGTTTTTTATAATAGGTTTTAAAGTATAACTTTTAATCGTATCTTAATTTGTGAAGGAAGAAATGGCTCACGTTCGGGCCTATATGTTGTGTGCAGTATATTATAGATCTGTAAAGTCACAGATTTTCTTTTCAGAGATTGTTAAAATGATCTACAATAATATTTTTTTTAAAAAGAGTCAGTAAATACAACAAAAACTGGGTCAAAAGATTGAATAAAAATAGAACACATTACCTTCAAATGAAGCTCACTTGGTAAAAACCTTCCTGCTTCACAACCAGGAAGAAGAAAAGTTGGGCAGAATAAGGAAACTCAACACCAGTGAAGGTTTGTTTAGCTCCGCCTCTAAACACCTTAACATGTTTAGAAGAAGAACCTCAGTAAGTCCAGCCTTCAGTCTATTCAAGATCCCAAGTTTACCTAAATTCCTCCACTGTGATGTAAAAGCTCCACTCAACACGTTTAATAAAAATAACTCAGTTAACATTTGAATGTTAAATGAGTTTGAAAATGAATGATTCAGTTCATTTTCTATATACTTATTTTTCTTTTGTGATTATATGAACATAGAATAGAGCCTAGTCTAGTAGAACATAAACTAATAGTTGTTTGTGACCTTTCTGATTAGTGAACAGACCTCAGATTGTTGAGCACCGGTTCTTTCTCATCCCTCACAACTCTATGATTGTGCAGTTAACTTCCTTCCTGCTTCTCTTCTTCCACATGAACAATTATTCAATCTTTTGCACCCAATCTTTTGCACCCACAAATACAACAGTTAGAAACAGCTACTGATACCATTTAAAAATGTTTTAAAATGATGAGACACATCTTCAATAAATACTAACTGGGGAGTTGTAGGCAAACTGTGGAAATGTTCAACATAAAATGATTGTAAAAATGTTTGGGTTGTGTAGATAAATTTGCTGTTAGTAATTACTTCAAGTCAACCTATTGCACTATACCTCTATTAAGGTGTCCATGTAATGTTAAATTGGTCTGTATATATAAACTTATTGTATATATAAACTTATTGTCAGTAAAGTGTTAGGGACTATGGCCTCTGCATAAAATACTAAAACTCTATTAACTGAGCTATTCAGCACCCAGCTGTCCTATGTTTATATTTATGAGTGTAGAATAAATAAAAAGAGATGAAGATTTGGCACCTAACTTGAAGAATAACTAAAGTACCTCAAGAAAAAAAAAAAAAACATTTGGGAACTTGAATTCATTGAAATATGAATATAAGTCTGAATCTTAAATGACCAACATATCTCTGATATGGGTTGATTAGGACTGATGTGCAAAAGAATCATATCATAAGCTTAAAAAATTGGTTTGACTCAACATGTTAAGTAATAAATACACAAATTAAGACATTCTGTAAAAGTGATCAATAGTTAATATCTCCAAGGTCTCTGTAACTGATGTTGACCTTTCTGAACTTTTTTCTCTTATCTTTAAAAGCTCCAGTTTCATTGACTCACTTAACTAAAGAGATATTGTAAGATATTATAGTTACTGGTAACTTTAACCAGTTATACATGTTCTCTTCCACTTTATCATGTAACTCAGCAAATGGGGTGGTATCTAATTGTTGTTCTAACCTTTCAAATGTCATTGATTTCATCCTTTCATATAGATAAATTTGCATCTGGTAGGAATAAATCTCCACTTAGTAAGATGTGATAAGAAGGGATTGTCAAAAAACTGACTGGAGATGGACAAAGACTGAACAAATTCCCTGTGACATCTGTAAAAGATACTGAAAAAAACAAGGGAATCCTTCATTTTTGAAATTATTAACAAAACCAATTATAATCCTTGTGCTTCATTTGCCACAGTTGACAAATAAACAAATCCTCCTGTGTCAAAACTCCATCCAACCAGAACCTGCAATGAACCTGCTAGTTTTTTCCTAAGAATTCTGTAAATTAGAAAGTTAGTCCAATTACAACTCTAGAACGGGGTCAGATTTTATAGAACCTATGTTTGACTGGTTTTAGTCTTAATAGAAGGTTAGATTTTATTAAGCCTTATTGTCTTTCTTCAGTCAAATAATATCTAGAGACAATCTAAAAATACTTCCTTGCAGAAATTTCCCTACACAAAAATTAGAGCAACTGTTCAAATCATAAAGTGATTCCTTATGGTTATTCCTGGTTTGCCCTTTGTACCACAAAGTGTCACATAACTGCACTGAAGTTTTCATATCAGATGACAATAAGAGATTAAAACAGAAAACTGGTGATAAAAGTAATAATTTCCCAGCAGACTCATTTCTCAGAACATAAATCTTTGACACAGAGCACTGAAACACTGATAAGGATGACGATTGATAATTCCAGTAAATGCAATAAAGCTCTGTTGAGGTCACCAACCTGTTTAGTTAGATTGTCTGTGTTTAATTTTTCATCCCATGGGAAATTCAAATATCCCTTTGGATCCACAAAAGTTATACATACACATGATCTAATTGATCAAAATACAAACAATGAATAGACAGTATGATGATCGCAGTGCAAAACAATCAGTTGATGAGAATCAGAAGAATCCACAGGTTTGAAGGAGTTTTGACAAATAAATTAAAGCTTTGATTTAAATATTTAGATAACCTAGTCCTGTTGTGATATAGTAAAAAATGAAGGAAACAAGGACTCGCCCTTCATTCAGCCTTTTCTCTCTTTTTTATCAGCATTATCATTTCCAGAGCACCAAAGGATCCCAGATGTCTGTCAATCATTTTCTTCCTCACTTTTTTTCCTCCCTTTTATTTTAAACTGAACATAAAAGGGAGCAAAGTCTAAACATCAAATGGGAGGGACTGAAGCCAGGGCCTTCTTGCTGCAAGGCAACAGTGCTACCAACTGCACTGTTGGTACCACCATTTTGATTCAATGTCAATGACTTGAGCGATAGATCACTCGTATTCAAAGCCAGATTGCAGTTCTAGAAATTCTTGGGATGTTGAGGATAGACAGCTTTGGATGAACTGATATTTTTGTGCAGAATGAGCAGTGCACAGATTTCATTTATAAGTAAAGGTGAGATGGCAATAACATTTTATGCTTAGAGTTTTAATGAAATGTGTGTGTTGTGGGCGACAGTTTGTATGTGTAAAGAATATAGAAAATAAACAATCCACAAACTTAGCTAATAGCAGCGGTAGCTAATCTACCACAGCAATCACTTATTAATAATCATAAAATAAACATTAAGCCTAAAATAATTCTTGTGCAACAGAGTGAATGCTCTGCTCTTTGTGTGTTTTTTGGTGTTGAATCCTGAAACATAAAGTGACGTCAGTTGCTATATCAACAAGTCTGTGTGTAGCTTGCCTGATAAAGAGAGCAAGAAAAAAGTGGTTTAAAGTTGTAAATCAGTTTTTTCTCTTTGCTTCTGAGCAAAGGACTAAATTAATGATATATTTCCAAGTTTCATGGAGTTAATGGAATTATTCTACCGCAGCAGTGGAGCTATGGATGACATATACAAGAATAGAAATTTTAATCGCACATAAATGTGTTATAAAAGTGTTACTGATTAAACTTTATGTTTTCTATTAAAGCAAACTTTATGTTTGCTATTAAAGCTAACACTAATAGCTTTAGTAGTATGTAGCTTTATGTTATTATAGCTTTAGTATGTAGCTTTAATAACATAAAGCTACATAATTTTTGAAGTGGGGGTGCTGGTTCAATCAATCAATCAATCAAATTTGATTTGTATATCACATTTCTGCAGCAAGGCCTTTCAAAGTGCTTTACATCATAACAAACATAAAAACACAAAGTCATGCAACATAGAATCAGCAATCAAAACATGACATTAAGTCAAGTTCCATCATTAAATTAGTAATTGATTACGTTTCAAATACAATTCTAAACTTTGCCTTCAGACAATGTTGTTTGAAGCATTGTCAGCGGCTCAGGCTGGAGTGCAGAAAATCTGTTTTTCAGTGGGATTCCCACAGAGTCAGAATGTTTTGAGGCTCGAGCTGGTTGCTTTGTCCCTGGGAGCGGGGTCAGCGCGGTCGGTGGAGGCGTCTTGGTTGCAGCTGCTTGTTTATCTTTCTTTGGCGGAGCAGGTGTTGAACCTTGATCTTTGCCTTGATCTTCATCTTTTCCTTTGGGGTCTTCATCTTTGTCTTTGGGGTCTGAACCCAGCCGATGAGAGAAGTGCAATTTGAAGCCACATGTTGCGGGGCTGATGGGTTGGTCCCGGTGTGCAGGACAGTCTTCAGCTCTGTGGCCCCGGCTCTTCTTCAGCTGCAGAGTTCTTTGTCCATCTCGGTCTTGACTCAAAGCTGCCTGGAGGATCCAACCAAAGATTCCTCTTTTGCTCTCCCCTTATATAGGGTTTATACCCGCTTTCAGTGCATTTTCATTGGCTAACACTGTTGCTGAGCTTGCTTTATTGGGTAACTTGTTTGGACAGATGAACTCATGTCATCTGTTCATCTGTCAGGTCAAAAGGTTTTAGAGGTCTTGTCCTGATGTCTGTGCTAATGTCTCAGGGTTGCTCAACGTTCCTCCCATGTCTCTGACACATTTAAGTTGTTCAACAATCATGTCCTAATAAGGTCTTGGTCATGTTTACTTTCCCGTTAGTCCTCATTTTACCCCTAACCTTTCACCTACTATCTACCTCCAACACATCATCAGTGATCTTTAATAGCAGTTTTACACCATTTCAAGTTCAATGTTAGAATCACATTCATAAACCTTTTAGTTTCTCTGAATTAGCATTAATTTATAATTTTATAACAACAACTTATTACTCTTTTATTATTATTTGATACCAAAGTTACAGTTACTTGTTTTACTTGTAAGTTTTTCCAAGTGTAAGTAACTATTGTTATAAGTAAACCAATATTAATATCAGTACTTTACTTTAAATCTTTACTAATTACTCAAAATGTTTAGATTTCATCCTTTAAAACTTTTATGCTTTTAAATAAGGACTGGTCTCAGCTATTTTTATACAGCTGCAAGCTGGAAACTTACTTCCTCTTTTTTCAGGAAACCTGCTCTTCCTGTCTCATCTCTCTCTCTGACTATGATTTCTTATGTTTAGACAAAAAAATAACTATAATTAAAGCTCAATTTACAGGAGACAAAAACAACACACACAACCAGATTTATTTTATTGCAGTCTGGGTCTACTGTTGGATCTAGATGTGATTTGTGACTTATTTTAAAGGTAACTTTATTTGTTGTTACTGTTAACTAAAATCTCCAGCATGGGGAAGTGGGATGATCTCGGATTTTCTTGACAGGGAGTATTATAAGTCTGTTACTGTTCTCAATTATGATAATT